ACTATATATATATAAATATTATTATATATATATATATATATATACACGTATCTGTATAGGGAATATATGTATATATTGTACAAGGCCTAAGATAAAATATTGCTTGTTTCCCCTTTTCCCGTTTTGACCGACTCGCCAAAACGCCGCTACTCGACATATTTTATTGGCCGATTAAAACAAAACAAAAATTATTTCGGTTGGCCAAAAAAAAATCAAATTCGTTGCGCAAAAAANATAATTAGCTCAAAACGCAATAGCTGCTCTGCAGGGTTAGAGCGTATGGTTTTTACAGTAACTGTTACTGCACCGTAACCGTAACTGTAATATTAAAAGCTTCATGTTTAGTTCTTATTAGTAACACACAAATTAAACAGTGCAATGTGCCATACAGAATACACATCTAGTGCTATTGCAGCTGTGTTTAGTACTGCTAAGCTATGCTCTAAACCTGCGCACACAGTGAAGCCTTGAATGCCCAGTCATGTCACATAGCAGCACAAACCTACCACCACCTCATTGACACATGACTGTCACCCGTCACCAACCGCACTGACAACAAGTGTCAACCCCGTGTTAACCCACTTACTATGCCAGCAAAACCATGTACAGCCACTTATGCACTAATGCACATGCATGACACACGCAAAGACACACACACACCACGCGCGCACGCGGACACAGACGTGCAAAGACACGCACGCACGCACGCTCGCACGCTCGCACGCACGCACGCACGCACGCACGCACGCACACGTGTAACACAAATGTGCACAACCTGCCAACCACGGGTGAAACACATAGCACACAAAACTCATGGATTACACACGCACGCGCGCGCACACACACACACACACGCGCGCACGCACGCGCACACACACATAGCGCGGAGGCCATGGAATGCAACAAGAATTGCCATGGAACACAAACGGTGCATAACTGGCAACGGCAACCACAAGAGAGACACACAACGTAGTAGTGTGGCCATGGAACACGTGGCGTGTCCATGGAACACACGTAGCATGGCCGTGGAACACAACAGTGTGAAAACCTGGCAACCGTGTGTTAACCTAGCAACCAACAGAAAGTCTATTCACCTATGTCACTAAATAAGGGCACCATCGGCATAGTCACAGAAGCAGCCTCTGCGTTATCAGCTGTAAACAAAACAAGACGAACTCAGTCAGTCAGACAGAATGGCACTTGAGTTCAGACAGCCCCACCTGCTGTCTCCCACCACACACTGCTCTGCACCACATATTGGGCCACAATTAAAAAAATATTTGTTTGCCCTCACCCGACCCAGGCTGAAAAGTTTAGGGGTAGGTAGGTAGGTTGGTTTTTTTGAGGGGGGTCTTTTTACAAATTCAGCATGGTGTCTACATACTCGGGTGTGCTTGTGTTGAGATAGCTTTTATGTTTAATGTTTGTTTTGCTTGGTACATGTAATGTATTGCCTACAGATTTATATAATGTACAGAGTGATACGATTTGTAAGAAAAAAAATAATGGGAAAGATCAATAAAAATGGTTGAGTCGGCCCCTTTTTGGAGGGTCGGTCGGGTGAGGGCAAACAAACAATATTTTTATCATGGCCTTGTACCTCCCCCCATTACATCGCTACCCCACATAATAGGTACCACACTGCACAATCTATTCCATGAATGACAATTTAACAACCCGATGACTCATGCCCACAACAGCACGCTTGGACATTAGTAAGTGTGATGGGACAGTGTGTGGGGGTGAGATAGCCAGCCCATGGCACAGCATGGGACAGTGTGTGGGGGTGAGATAGCCAGCCCATGGCACAGCATGGGACAGTGTGTGGGGGTGAGATAGCCAGCCCATCTTACTCAATCCACCTGATAACCCAAACATAGTTTTACCTTTACCAACACTATTCTCATCCTCCACCTGTCCTCATCGCAAAAACACAAGATAAACGAGAAAAACCATCTAAAATACTACTAAAATATGCAAACAGAGTTCTGCTTACACACAGGAACAACCGCAAACACACTAACGACTAGATCACGCAAATTGTAACAGAATTCACAAACCCAAGATGCTACCGCAGCGAGTGAGCGACCTACCGGGTTCTTTCTCTGGTAGCATCGGTTCCTTCGGTGGTTTGGGAGGCTTGGGGGGCGGCGGCGGGTACTTGCTACGGTGCGTGGACTGGCGACAGACGAGGCAGTGGTAGCCCCAGTCCGCCGCACGCTCCACGTCATCCTCATTGTGCATGCCGTCGCAGCTCGTGTGTAGCCACCTGTAACCATGACGACGCGATGCAGACGATTCGTAACCACGACGACGCACAGCAGACGGGGTTTCGTGATACCATGTGCTTATTACTCTGCAGTGCTGCTTTACTAGGTACCGTGATGTTTCGCTAGACACTGTGCTATTTTATTTTACAACGTGTGATTTCAGTGGACACCATACCATTTTATAAACACCATAACGTTTCACTTGACGCCATGCCGTGCACTCGCCCACCCTTCTACCTCCCTCCTCCTTCCCCCTCAATGCTCCCTAACTCCCTCTCTTCCTCCCCACGCCTCCTCCCTCCCGCCCTCCGCGTCCCTCCTCCCCCGCACCGCCTCCCTCTCTCCCGCCGCAACGGCACGTCCCTACCCTCCCCCGCACGCCCTATGGCTCGGCCGTCCGCTCTGCTCCCCGCACGCTCCGCCTCCTCCCTCCCGCCACACAGCTCCGCTCCCTGCCTCGCCTCCCTCTTGCCTAGCCGCTCCCATGCCCTCCTCTGGTTTACCTGTCACAGTTTGTGCACTGTATGACGAGGTCGTTCTCTATGTAGTTCTCCTCGCACACCCAGCAGCTTGCTAGACTGGAGCAGGGAGCGCAGCGAGTGTAGTTCTCCTGCCACGCTGACTCCAGGCGTCCTGGGACTCGGTCGCTCCACACTGCTGACACATCGACGCACCTACACACCACACGTAGGCGAGCAAAGAGAAGCTATAGCCGTGGCACACACACAGCACACACAGTCAGTGCACACTGAATAAAAATAGTTGATCCAGTGCAAAAGAAAAATTACACGGGCTCGCGGGCGATTTAGCCCGAAATGCCAAAAAAGAAGTCCCCGGAAATGCCAAAAATAGGCCTCGTTAAATTTGCATAGAGTTCAATTCAAACCAAATTTTAGAGAGCAAATTTTCATGCACGCGAGCTGAAAAGTAAGCCCCGAAAAAATAATTTTTTCCCATGCTGGTTTGATCACGGGATGCTATGTGTGGATCACGCAGATTACACATCTCTGTTCGTTCCTTAGAGAGCAGATGCCGTCGCAGTTTACAACAACATGGAGATATAATTAAATACAGTAAAGTATAAAATATAAATTAAAATGTCACGGGTTTTTAAAAAGAAGAAATGAAGGGAAAACAAACAGCATAATTTAAATGATTTAAATGAAATTAAACGAATATAACCTTAACTAAACGAAGACAACATAGAGAGAAAAGAACAAGATAATGAGGATGACGAGTGACGGGTTTCACACGGGGGCACGACCGCGAGACGCCACCTCCCTACCATTTGCACTTCCACGTCCCGGCGGGCACGTTGTCGAGTGGCGGGTCGAGACAGTAGGTGTGGTAGCTGACGTCACAGTCGTCACACAGTAGCAGCCGACCCTCGTCGTGTGGCTGACCACAGCCCTCACACACCGTGCAGTCAAGGCAGCGCCAGCCCTTGTTCAGTATCACTTTCGTAATCTGCAGGTAAGGAGTGAAAAAAACACGCGTCAGACACACTTCATCGTCGACTGAAGACATCCGATGAGGACCTCAACTATTTTTTATTGCCAGTATATCGAGGTCAAGTATTCCATGGGAGGCAACGAGAATTTTAGGCAAACGAAAAACTAATCCCAGCAATATTTTGCACACGTGGTACCATTACGTGAGCGTATTTAACCCCTTAAGTCAATTTTCTCTTCGCGTAGTCAAACATTCTTGCGAACAATGACGATTAAAATCGGCATTGTTTTACGATGTGCTTCTAGCTAACAGGAAACCACACGCGAATTGCTCCGTTCGGCTGCGATGACGTGTTTTCGCTCGTTAGCGACGTGACGGTGGAACGAACCTTGATGCCTGCGCAGTAGGGATGATAGCACTGGCCACACTGTGAGCAGGAGACGAGTCTGCCTTCCTCCCCGCGCCCCAAGCTCCCGCAGCTGTAACACATGTCCTACAATGCAAAAACAACACGGCGAACGATTAGTCACGGACGATGCTGACATACGACCGATGAAGACCTCAGGAATGGTTCTACAGGGAAGGAGAGCAAATTTCACGAGGGATGTGATACAGCTAGAGATTTATCATTTTTTTAGCCCCAGTATCATCTTTTAGCCCCAGTCGTACAGACAATGACTCCAACTAGTCAGATTTCAGCATGTACACTAGCATCTAGTCACCAAGCATGCCTACAGAATTCTGATCTGTTCAAGATCAAAGATGCCTCTGTACCCTGCCATGTAAACAGAGTAAAACCACAAGTGCGTGTTTAATAAAACTGACCAACAGGTATGGACATAGCTATGGAGTAATAAGCAGCATATACCATAGACAGCCTTGACCGATGGCTATGAACAGGAATATATGGAGTAAGGAGCACGTACCTGAGAAAGCACGAATAGGTCGTTGGCTGCACACAGCACAGGTGTGGAGTGAGGATTGTCGTCATCATCGTCCTGCTGCTGCCTGTTCAAAGACTTCAGGTTCACCTTCTCACCAGGTGTCGCTCCGATCTGCGAAGCAAACTACAACGAGAAACAATGACAACGTCACGCGCACAACGCCATCTCCCTCGCACAGCTACGCCGAAAAACATTATCACAAAGTTCTCATGGATTTCTCACACATTTTGAAAATTCACGAGTTAACGAAGTAACGTATGTGTAATGATAAATTTGCTCATTCTGATTTTCTGTTCTCTGCGAACGACGATGGTTGGCATACCTGTGTGTTTGTGGCGATAATGTGGCCGGTTTTGAACTTGGGTTTCGGGCCTCTCTTCCTCTCTCCCGGCATCGCCTTCCTGTGTCTCTTCACGAGTTTGGAGCTGCCCTGCAATTCAGGCGGGGAATGCTAGGCAAGGAGTTTAGTCTGTTTCTGTCAGTAGCAATAATTACAGGAGCAGGAGTGCAGACACTGCACCTGTCAGTAGCAATAATTACAGGAGCAGGAGTGCAGACACTGCACCTGTCAGTAGCAATAATTACAGGAGCAGGAGTGCAGACACTGCACCTGTCAGTAGCAATAATTAGAGGAGCAGGAGTGCAGACACTGCACCTGTCAGTAGCAATAATTAGAGGAGCAGGAGTGCAGACACTGCACCTGTCAGTAGCAATAATTACAGGAGCAGGAGTGCAGACACTGCACCTGCTGGTGATGCTGGTATAAACACAAATATTATACTGCCTGGGTGATGCCCCACGCACACACATACACGCGCACGCACGCACACACGCATGCACGCTCGCACGCACGCATACACACACACACATGGAGACTCAGCCATAGTGCACACACGCAGACGCACAGTAAAAGCTCACGATAATTCTATAACGACATTATTATATAGGAGAGTTACGTGAGCGAGCACGCTTGCTGCTCGCAGACATACCTTTGGTGGCCGCCCGACACCCTGCTTCTTGCGAGCAATGATCTGTGGCTTGCCCATGCCGTGCATCGGCTTGCCTTTTGATTCTCCTGACGGCGCCTCGGCCACTGCTGCCTGCTTCGCCAATTCCTGCGCCTCCTGCTGGGGAAACGTCGGTCAGTAGGAACGAAGTACGATGCTTAAAACCGACTCGTGATAATCGTAAGTTGGCTACAGTGCTCCGGAATCAGTGAGTATAGGGCATAACCACTGATCACTGTATACTAACTAGACATGACTTGTGGTGACACCTAGTGGACGCTAAGAACACTAAATAGAGAGATGTATGTATAGATGTATGTAGAGTATTTATGTTGTACATAGACTATATATGTATATAGGGCATATATGTATATAGAGTATATGTTATATATAGATTACATATGTATATAGGGCATATTTTTATATAGAGTATATATGTTGTATATAGAGTATAAACTCGCTTACTATATCCCGTTTGTCTCGCAATGGGTGGTCCAAAAGATAATAGAAGAACTCTATAGAAGATAGTGTTCTTCTATTATCTTTTGGACCACCCATTGCGAGACAAACGGGATATAGTAAGCGAGTTTCATTTCCGCAATGGATAATATTTTTAACCTTAGAGTATATATGTTATATATAGAGATATATATGTATATAGAGTATACAGGGTGCGAAATTAACGGGAGTCCGCAGTCAAATACTCCCTGATTTACTGTCGGACTCCCTGATTTGACATATGCAGGAGTCTGTGTGACTCCCTGAAAATTCTGCCATATTAACTAGTTCGTTCCAGAGCACGGCCTCACGGAATTACCGTATTTTTTCAACTAATGTCCAAAGAAAATTGGGCAGACGTGCAACCGCATGAATCTTCAAAATAATCACATGCGTTATTGTTAATATCTTTAATTTTGAACCTCAAACTGCGGACTCCCTCATTTTGCTGCGGTCTCCCTCTTTTTGAGGGTACGTTGGACTCCCGTGTTCAAAAGTTAATTTCTACCCCTGGTATATATGTATGTATATAGAGAACATGTGTATATCAGCGGGCAGGCAGCGCACATGCAGGCACGTGAAACGCACCTTCTCGAACACGTTCAGGTCGATGTCCATGCTGGAGACGGAGTTGTCACCGAGGGACATGCAGGACTCCTCCTGTGAGCTTGTCAACGCCTCGTCACCCAGCTCCATCTTACTGTCAACCGACTCCGGACGCTCTGCAGCAGAACAAAACACACACCCATGATCAGTTACAGCTGCTAGTACAGACCTCACCTGCTCGATTGCCACGATATATACCCAGCGGTTACAATACGATACGTATCATGATATGGACTACACGATGCAATATGCATCAAATCAAACTGTACTAATAATAAACCACTCTGCAAACCAGACATACGACGATGAAAAATCCTACACCTATCTCTCGGTTTTCTCTTTATCTAACCCCCTCCTGCCCCGGTACAATTTGTATTTATAGATTATTGAGATTGCCGCTTGCCTTGCTTTGTGTCCATCTTGAAGAAGCTGAAGTCGTCAATGCTCTGCTGCTTGGCTTCGCCTCCCAGGAACAGCTCGGAGCTCCCTTGTGATAGCGCGAGCTCCGGTACTTCAAACTGCAAGCGTGCACACACCCACCGGTCAGTATCCACGCAGCGCTGACAAACAATAGTCTTTTACGGATAATACTCAGTTATCAAGCATGGATGCTGGGGGCATCGGCTGGCCTGGATGGAGATTGGTCAGCTAGGCAGTATTTATATAGGTGAGGGGTCAGCTAGGCAGTATTTGTACAGGTGAGGGGTCAGCTAGCCAGCAATTATACAGGTGGGGTCAGCTAGCCAGCAGTTAGAGGGGTCAGTTAGCTACATATAATGAAGGAATCAGTTAGACAGCACTGGGGTTCTGAGTGCCAAGACAAAATTACCAATACACTGTCAATTTCCCCGAGGCTGCTTCGGGGGGAAGAACCCAGATAATGCCCTAATGGAAAAAAACACTCCAGACTCACTTGTGTAATTAGCTAAAGGACGATTGAATGCGAGGACATGCAACATGGACGTTACTTGACATCTTGGCTGTCACTGTTCACTCACCACTTCGTTGGGGTCTCGATCTTTGCATACGGGGCAGATGTACTTTTCTCCTCCCACTCCAACACTACCTCCCATCTCCCCCTCTTTCTGCTGCTGCCATGTGTCCAGCGCTGGATCACACTCGCTGTGAATATGCCTACAAGCATATTGGTGGAAAAAATGACGTGTGAATGTTTCATGATATGTGAGGCTTATATATATATTTGGTGTTATGCAAGGCGTACTGGTAGATATCAGAACAATTCAGAAAATATGAAAACAGTTGGAAAAAACATCGCTTTAAAGCGTAGCGACGACGCAAAACACTGCAAAATTTTGAGAAAGCTGGCCAAGTAGCAGTAAGGTTTATGGCATCAACTCGAACGAAAACACGTGGAATGCAACCGAGCCGTTTTTTTTGCGAGAAACCTACTTTTTACAAAGCGTGCATTGCACCATAGCCTTCTGCGTGAAGTGTCGATACGCCTTGCCACACAGAGGGCAGAAGAGTCCCTTGTTGCGCTGCTGGTAGCAGCTATCACATACGGAGTAGTTGAGGTGCCAGCGCGAACTCGGGCCGCTGCCGGGAGTCCGCGAGCCGCAGTCTCCGCAGACGCGGCAATTCTGTAACCACGGCAACACACAATCGCATCAATAAACGACGGTTACTCTGTAACCGTGGCAACACGCGATCGCATCAATAAATGATGATTATTCTGTAATAGCCGCAACACGCAATCACGCCAATAAACAATGATTACTCCGTAACCACGGAGACATGCAATCACGTCAATAAATTATTATGGGTCTGTAACCACGACAACACGCAACCGAGTGAATGACCGATAACTACTCCATAAACCAACGGCACACAATGATGTAAATAAACAAATCTTCTTAGGTAACTAGAACGACACCCCACTATGCATATAATTATCGCTTATACTGTACCCTAACGACACACAATCACACAAATAAACGCTCATTCAGAAACCAAGATGACACAGGCAATAACAAGCATTAGTGGCTAACTGAAATTCCCTACTATTAACGCCAACTGGACACACACGTGACACTCGAGCTGGCGATGACGCTGCTGATCACGTACCTTGCACTTCCATCCGTTCTTTGGGATGGTCGTCATAACCGGTCGCAGACAGAACGTGTGATAACCCTTATCACATTTATCGCACACCAACATCTTACTGTCGTCGCCTGCACACCAAACAAAACCGCGATAAGTGACAGCAGTCACCAACTTGCCTCCACCCATCTTTCAATGAAACTGATCAAACATTCAATGCTAATGCTAACCATCAAAATTTTGTCACACAACAATAACCGACTGACGTAGAATAGGTAGGTGACACAGAGGGTATAGTGTCTTTAATAGACAGACGTAGAAGTTGCTGTTACAGCACTGTCACGTGTAGCCACGCTCCGCCTGCGTGAGAATCGTCCTCCCTACCTGGCTGTCGACAAGTCTGGCAGATCTTACAGTCGGGGCACTGCCAACCCGCCCTCACTTTAGAGTTGACTAGTACCGGCGGATCGAGGCAGTTGCCGTGGTAATGCTGCCCACAGCTGGTGCAGAAGAGTTGCTCGGATATTTCCCCGGCCGTGTCGCAGACGACACACAGTGACTCGGGGCCGGCTGCAATGGTCAAGCACGCACGCGCGGGCGGTCAGTCGAGCGGGCGCACAACCAGGTCAAACGCGTGTGATCACGCATGCGGTCAGTCGAGCGGGCAAGCATACACGCGGTCAGTCAAGCGGACACGCATACACGCCACCCGGTCAAACACGAGGGATCACATGCGCGGGTAAAACAATTCTGGCCAGAGTGAACGGCAGAACGCAGATGTCTGACTGCACTGTACGTCGTCACAGAATCACATCAAACCGCCGTGCACGACCGCTACGCGACAGATTGTGGTGTTCCCGTTACATGCACGTTACCTATCTCCTCTGCTTGGTTGAGATGGTCCGGGCAGAGCAGCGACATGCTCTTGATGTCCTGGAACGTGCCAGCGCTGGCAGCACACGGGTAGTGGTACAGCTTGCCGCACTTAGGTATCCGACAGAAGATGGTCGCGCCGTAGCGTTGACAGTAGCTGCATTTCTGTAGGCAAGCAAACGTCGGCAGACAATGACAAAATACTGCGAAAATCTCAAGCCAGCCACCATGTGGCACTCGCATGGCGCCACCTGCTGGTCTCTTTTACATACAACTGGTATTACAGCTTTAACATGGTATTATATTAGTAGATATCATATTAGTATTATAATAGTATATTACAACATCATTAAGTACAGCATTGTGATGTGGTAGATTCCAAGGGTGTGCCCATAACTCAGATTAAAAATACACAGCCTCATTTAGATTTCATCCTCATTTTTCAATTATCGTTTAGGTTCATTACTAATCAGAAGCCACTGCCGGCTGAGAGAGACCTGCGTCGTGGTAGGGGAAGGCAGGGTGGGGGAATGTTGCTGGGGAGAAGGAGGGAGCAAGGGAGGTGAGAGATGCTGCTTCCTCATACCTGGTTCATCCCATTAAACACGGCCTTGTCAACGTTAACGAGCGTGTAGTCCTCATTCTGGCAGACGCCCTCCGACCACGCCGCACAACAATGATGCGCCCAGTTGTGACCTGTTGCCATGGAGATGACAGTAACAGTCACGAGTCATCACCATTCACCACGCTGCCTCGCTCATCAATCGACCATACTTAAACGATTATCCTTCGATCGTTAATTCTCATTCAGTCACTGCATTGAATGTGTGATCCTCATACAATTTACAATCAATAAATAAAACTATTATCACTAATGCCATCATTTAGATACCATAATTAATACGTGGTGTTATCATCGCTACTATTCTATTAGTGGCCTCGTTACCACGATCTAGGTTGCAAATGAAACGACTTTTCACTCCACGAGGGTGTGAAAAGCACGGGAGGTTTGTTGACTCGTCACCTGAGGTCTCAAACAGTTGCTCCACGTCGGTGTCCATGGGAAAGCCGATATTACTGAGCTCGTCGACGATCGCGATGGGCTGGCCCTTGTCGTCCTGCATGGAGTGAGGGTTTGGACGGCGCGGAGATTTCATCTTATCCCTGTACAGAGTTCATAGTAGTAAGACACATGGAGTGAGGGTTTGGACGGCGCGGAGATTTCATCTTATCCCTGTACATGGTTCATAGTAGTAAGACATGTTGAAATAAGGACTTATAAGACCCTTTCTGGAGGCCAAAATAAGACTTTTTTACGAGATTTCTGATAGATCACCGACTATTGAAGTACACTAATAATATTTATATACACAATTGCACAGCAGATTTAATTATTCCGTATTATATATACAACAATTCTTACTCTAAGTCGAGAACAGTTTATAAAACAATGTTGAAAAATGGTCCTTTGGCAAAAAATAAGGACTATTAAGTACTTTTCTAAGATTACACCAAAAATAAGTACTAATAAGGGCCCTTATTTTATTTTTGGCAAAATAAGACTTTGGAAGACCCGCTACGAACCCTGCTGTACACGCAGAAAGACAGCAGTGTGATCACAGTAGAAAACATCACACACAATAAGGGCATCATGTAATTAACGAGAAGGATTATAAGAGAGCGGGCCGGCCATTTATACTGGCTTAGCGCGCGCCGTAAAACCATTCATAACGTCTGCGAGAAATCCCGCAATTCAATCTGCTGTTCGTGAAGCCTGGTTTATTGCAGCCGCGTGCAATTTAGGGATTTATATAACATTCTGCTACCGCGTACTCTGCTGCTAGAGTGTAGGGCAGTCATAACAGAATGTTTGCTTCAACTATCAACATCACTAACAAACACCGCAACAGTCCCGCCCCAATAGAAGGCTAGGAAGGTCGGTCGGGGTTAGGGTTAGGTTTGTGTTTTGGGTTAGGGTTAGGGTCAGTTAGGGTTAGTGTTAGGGTTAGTGTCAGGGTTAGCGTTATAGTCAGGGTTAGCGTTATGGTCAGGATTAGGGTCAAGATTAGGGTTATGGTCAGAATCACGGTCAAGGTTAGGTCTTTCTTCGCTTCCTTCGCACTTCATTCGCATCTTTCTCTTGCACAGATATCAGGAGTATGTGCCTACCTGCCGGGCTTTATGGGGCCGCGTTGCCGCCGCCACGTCAGATGCTTCGGACCTCGTTCGTTGATGATGTCCTTCTCGCTCTCGGACGAGCCGCGGCGGCTGCGGCTCTGCGCGCGCTTCAGCACGTTGAAGCCGAAGCTGGGATCGTAGCGGGTCAGGTCGCCCTGTCCCAGCAGGCTGCGCTCCCCGCAGTTGCATAGCGTGCACTTCTGAGGGCTGCGGGGCAGACAGACGGAACACGCATTCGATTACGGAGGTTCAGATTACACGCCCAGAGCTAAAACTTTACGATTATTCGACCTGTGCTCGGATGTTGCGTCACACATTTACTTACACTCGCATTTTAAATTAAGTGAATCGCTATCGGACGCGATTGTTACCGCTAAACGATGTCTGTGTAATCAATGCCTAGTTTACACTCATTTTAATTATGGACTGGACAATTTAAAGCCAGTGAAACAGATGCACGTGTGACGAACCTGAAAGACGTATCAGATGCAGTGACCATCGCGAAACATTCTGAATTTCAGACAGACACCCGACAGTAAACGTCAATCACATTTTAGTATGAGTGACATGTTAATATTGTTTACACCAGTGCTGCCAACGTCAAAATCCATTTACATTGTTGTTAGACACGTTTAGCCACACAGACATAATCTTATGAACCCAGCAATCTACTGAGAACATTATAGAGTCAATCTCTCGCGTTCATAACAACGCTGCTCACTTTTCGGGTTTGAGTTCATCTCCCTGATCGCTGAACTGCTGCGACGATGACAGGAGGCTGCTGCACGACTCCTCCCCAGCGAGCACCGTCTCCGCCGACGACGGCTCGTTAATCTCCACCGGCGCCTCCTGCTGGCCACACACCGCCGACTGCTGCGGAAACTCCGTCATGGCTTGCGGCTACGAATAAGAGGCAAGTGAGTTAATGTCAGCTGAGGACAACATGCATGAAAAGAGTTACTTGAGCACAGATGAGTACAGAGACTGCTTTGAATGCAACTCAAAATCAGCTGGCTTACCTGTATTGGGGATTCTTGCTGCTGCTGTTGTGGTTGTTGCTGTTGATCATGTAGTTGTTGTTGTTGTTGCTGTTGTTGTTGTTCATGTAGTTGTGTTAGTTGTTGTTCATGTAGTTGTTGTTGATGTTGTTGTAGTTGCTGCTGTTCTTGCAACTGCTGCTGTTGTTCTTGCAGCTGTTGCTGCAGCTGCTGCATAGGACCAGGCAGGTAGTCGGGATGGATGTAGGCCTGAGCTGACTGTATAGGCACAGCTACAGCAGTGCCAGGGAAACCCGGCTCGGCCGTGGGAGCCGGCGTGGAGCTCATTGATAACCCATGAAGTGACGGTACCTTTAAAACCCGCGTCCTCGTTCTTGGCCTGACAGGATGGATAAGACGAGTCAGATTACACACATACGCATACGATAAATAAATTATGCAGTTAAACTCCATCGATATTCAGAAATGTTGAATACTAGTGAGCACTAGAAGATTCCGTTTATTTATTTAACAACAATCATGTAAATATTACAAAAGAAGGGGGTACATATTCACACTCACTTTTCAGGCTTTAATTTCCTAATTCTGCTATCTTTGGGGATGGGTGACTGGCCGTCTTTCCGCGGCCGTCCCGGCCCTCGCTTGGTTGGCAGGCAGGGTGCTGAGGGATGGGGCGCAGGCGATGGTTCCGTTGACGGCACAATTACAGGAGAGCCGGGCGAGGACGCAGCGGCTACCGCCTGTGCTGGCCCCTCTTCACACTCTACTGACTCTGCTGCCACCTGGTGATGATCTGCAGCATCGCCATCGCTTTCCATCTCGCAGATTCTCTATCCTTCCAAGCTCCGATCATCAACATTCCATAACTACGCTGCTACGATGGCTGTAATGAGAAAAGGTGCAAAGCTCATCTAGATGCGAGTTTTAACGTATGAATGGACATGCATGGCACTGCGATTTCCCCCGGTTTTTATTGACAAAACTTTGTTTGGTGTAACACAGTAACCATCTTTGGATCAATAAGTGATGTATGACGAGTATGAGGGTAACTAAACTGTACACAACGTTAATATAAAATATTTGGAGCAAAATTCTCAGTCAATGTACTGTACAAGCCGTATTTTTTGTGTGCATATATTTTTGCGAATTCAGACTTGACGAACAATTTCGCGAGTTGTTAATTTTGCGGTCGGTGAATTATAAATTATTCGGTATGAATGATTCGCGTGTTGTTATTTTGGAGGTCGGAGACACGTTCGCGAAATTCGCCAAAATTAAACCACCGCGAAATATACCCTACACAGCTTAGGCCCTATACATAATACAGTAACTAGAATAGAATTAGAATGTGTACTGTAGGTGCAAGCTATCCACGAATGATACAAATGACATTTGAATTGCTATAATAAAGGTTTACGATACAGGCATCATAGCTGAGGTATTAGAAGGCCGCGGCACAAGCTTTGTATACACATATCGCCACACTAAAGTCTAAACGGCGGCCTATCGTGCAAAATCATGAAAATGCACCTACACCTCTTGTTGACCAACCAACTTTCTATCATCGATTCACGCTACCGTTCTTACCGTATTACGGATTTACCAACAACACTTAGTTTGTTCTGTTTAAAAGTGCAATGGATTTGTTTTACCTGGCATGTAATTCAGTAGATATAGACGAAATCCTGATTTTTAAACAAGGTCAAAATACTGATCTTCTCCAAATATCGGTCGCCATCTTTCAAGCCGCTGCTAATTATTGTATCCTGTCGCGAACGAACTGGCAATTCTCCAGATTTATTTTAACTGATTTAGCATATTACGTGACAAATCTTTGCGAGAAAAACATCGCTGCTATCATGCAGATGTGTATTTTATTTAATATCCAATAATTATTTTTATAAACAAGATATGTTACAATAAATATGGAACTACTTCTTGTAAGTTAACACCACTGACCAAACGATATGTATCCGCTGAATGCACACTAGCGCCTCTTCTGGGTGATCATGGAAACACTAATGCTATAAATGGTCCTGTGTAGTGTGTAGTATGCATAAATAGTATACGTTTCACTGTTTTCCTTAAATTTACTCTTAACAAAGCTCTGTATTATTTAAAAAAAGGTATTGTCCTTTTTATTACGGTTTAACGTTAAATGGCTTAATGGTTCAAGATTACTAATCACTATGAAAAAATGTTCTCCACGGGTGGCGCTAGAGAGTCATAAGTTTTGCGGTTGATATAAATTTTTTTCCGCTTTTTCTTTAAATTCATTCCCATCCATTTTCGTTATCATAAAGCCGCATATTTATTACAAAGTAACATTTCTAGCGTTAAATCGGAATTTTCCAATCTATCACATTGTACTATACAATGTAATCAGGTTGAACAAATTGACTTGTGATTGAAAACGACGTTCATATTTTTTATGTATGTTTATCAAGTTTGCTCTTTTTATGTATGTGTTTGATCTCGTTTTTCTTTGTGGTATAGAGGCAATCGGCGTGTGTGCGATTCGAGCCTGTCCTCTCCCTGTAACAATTGTTCCCTGTTAATAGATGCCTTTACTGACAAGGCCATCTCGAAGTGAAAATTTTCACCTGTACGAAATGGCCATGCAAGTCAGTATGGAAAATATATGGGGAAAAATAAAACATACTATAATTTTTCCTCCGTGGGATACGAACCTGGCTTCTCTCTCCCATTAACGCCTTTGCTGACTTAGCGATTTCGCACACGCTCTTTACAGTTTTAATATCAGTACCTGTCTATGGCTACATAGAAGAGGCATTTCTATGTTATTTAAACAAATAAATACAAAACAAGGCGAATAAAAACCAAAAATATAGTTTTGTTAGATTTCCTGCTGGCGTAATGAGATTAGAGATACATCACTTGTCACAATTTTTTAACAAAAGAAAAACGTAAAGTGTGGCAATAAACCAAACATGGTATATAATTATTATTGGCTTAATGATGCATGTAATCTCCATATCGTGTAATTACTTATTAGGGTTACAGGTAACTGATTACAACGTCTGTGCGTGCACGTTGTACCTCTTTTGTGAAACCGGTTTGTTACGAGCGTGTCGCAATCAGAAAGTGAAATTTCACAGGCACGGTGACCTAGTTCGGCTCACTGCTCGCTGCAGACGCGCTGCTGCAACACCGTGTTACTGTGGTGTTACCACGTGTGTTACTGCTTGTCACTGCGATAGCTCGACAGACGGCGGCACCTTCGGTACATCAATGGGACCGACCGCCCATCGACAATCAATAACTGAGCGCGAAAACGAGGCTTGAACATTTACATACCCGAAGATGGCGCGCTTATCAATCGAGTGATCTTTGTACAAGTCTTACATTCGAACACCTAATCTGAAAAATACCAGTAAGTAACATTTCTGTTTTTCGCGAGGGTACATCCGCCCGTACGTGTTCGTGTATGGTATGTGTTGACTATGTTGTAAATGTTCGAGTAAAACCTGTTTTTATCGTTCAAAGAATGTGCGCCATCGCAGCGCGTCAACACGTGACGTTGTTTGTGTCTTTGTTGTGTTGTGCACCAGCTGCAGCGAGGGATAGCTGGATTTTAGCGCGCTCGACACGAGTTTGATTTCTGAGCCTTCTCCAGATATAGCGTTTGTGTGACAGGGGCGCTTATGAACATAGCCGGTGCACTGTGGATAGGTTATACGAGTAAGTAACGAAGGTTCTTGTATGAAATACGGGGAAATACACCGCTCATTCATGTTTTTCGTAGCTTGCAAAATTGGATGTGAATAAACAAACACGCCATAGTCGGGTTACTGAGGTAGACAGTAATTTGCAGGCGGTTATAACTAAGTTATATTGACATATTGTATGTCTTTCGTCTTTTTTTTGTATAGGCAACGGTTTACCAGCCCGTATTGTAACTGTATAAAATGACTCATGATACGGTGGTTGATACAGACCTGAACTGTTTTGTATAGATCGTTCCCGCATTGTTAGTCGTAGTTGCAGTATGGTGGGTGCACATTTCCTAACAATTTACCATTCGTGCAACGTTACGCATCGGCAGGGCAGTGTACTTCTTTATGGCACATAGTAGAAGTGGTTATAATAATTAATATTACCAGGTGGCAGGTAGTAACGTTGCCAACCGTTGCAACATCCTTTGTATAATTATGGGTAATACATATATATATATATATATATATACAGTGCTGGAAATAAGAAAAAAAATGTGGTTGTCCTGCGGACAACCCAGGCATCAAATCAGGTTGTCCGCAACAATTTCTGGTTGTCCCAAAAAAATATCCCAAAATATCCTATTTTCAATCAC